GGAGGAAAATATCAAGAGATAAAAGAAACGTAAATAGTGCAGCAGGTATACCTGCCCAAATGGAGGCCGTGATTAAAACTGAAGCAAAAAAAGAAAAAAAACCTTTAAAAATTACATTCAATCCCATCTTCTTTAGCTTTTATTATATCTGCAGCAGGCATCGGTTAAAGATCAATAACCCAAACAAGTTTGACCAAGGTTTTAAAAAGTTATTCATCATACGCCTCTTTCAGTTTAGATCCCTTTTAGTTAGATCTATAAAAAGTGTGTGGAGCAGAGAAACATAGTACTTCCCCTCTCCTACCTGTTGCTGCACGATTAGGGGTCAGCTGGATAAAAGAATACTGCAACAAATTTCCTCTCATTTAACAAGAAAAACAGCCTTAATAGGGAAATCCAAGAAGCACCACCTGTCACTCTTATTAACGTCACACCGAATAACATAGAAGGCATTATTTTAACTACAATAATCAATGTTTTTTTAGCAATACCTAGAACAAATACAGTTAAACATCGAAGTTCTAAAAATGTTGGTGTTAATATTGTCAACTGTCGATATCCAGGGGGTCTCATCACAGCTGATTTTCATGCTGGTCCATACCTAGGAGGGATATATTTTCTCTTCTGCAAACTTAACCCGAGTTCACTTCTGCCTTTGGCACAAACCCGCAGCTCCTTAAATTGAAAAAAGCCAAGGGAATAAACGTGTGTCTGGTTCTCATAAAAAGGGCCTAAAGAGAGGTCGCAAGGAAAACATCCTGCATATGCAGGTTCTGAATAGGATGGAGAGGCTCAGTAGCTCAGGAGGCTGGGGTATAAACTGTACCATCCAGTGATTCACTTTGGACTCTAGCTCCTTTAGGAGGCATTTGTCAAATCTTTGCTCATTGAAATCATCAAAGCGGACATATCCATAGTATAATGAATGTTAATAACCATTTCCACTAGTTATAACATAATAATAATAATTAAAGGAACACATTCATTTTATTTTTCTAAACATTTCTGACACTTTTTCCACATCCATCTGAGTGAGTTTATATGTGAGAATATATCTGCAGGCAGCTGCATCCTCAGCAGGTGTGGATGCAAATGATCTTGTCAGTGGGGTTTGAAACAGAGCACAATTTACACAAAAATCCACAACATAAATTTTCATTTGGGCATGCACATATTTACATTTAGATAGACACACATAGCCTGACTCATAATGTTTGCTAAATGCGATAAAGTCCGACTTTGACTTTGAGGGAAGAAGAAGAAAAGCAAAAAAAGAAAACATGGGTTTTTCTATGTGATGGTTTGATGCTGGTATTTACTTTACAACACCAGTGAAACGCTCCCTGTTTGTCACAGTCATTCTGCCAATTTAGACCACCTGCTGCAAAAACACCCCGAAGGCAGCGAATGCTACCGAGCCAGTAAGCTGTGACCAATTCAGCCTTTTGCAGGTGGAGACGAGGCGCGCTCGCGGCTCCCTCTCAGCCTTCCTATCTTCAAACAGCAGACGCGTTCAAACAACATAAACCTACACGATTATTTGGCTTATCCTTAAAGCAATGAATTTGAATTGCTAGTTTTAACTGATGAAACATACAAAGAAGTTAGTGTAAAAAAAGAGCTTTTTTTTCCTCAAAAAGGACAACAATAATAAAATAACAGGTATCAATATTTTTTCATCCGTTTAACTATTATTTTTTCTAAATGTGCACTCAACAAGGAAGAAAAAGTAATGTATTTACTTAACTATGAAGAAAAAAAAGTCAAACTAACATATAATACCTGTTTGTTAAAATTGCTAAAATCTATTTTAATTATTTTGTCCTCGTTTGAGGAAAAAAAAACAACTTTTGCAAATCATCAAGTTGGGCAATACAACAAATTAGTTTAGTAAAAACTAATTTCTAAGTGAGAATAAAAGTTTGAAGGTGAGAATAACTTTTCCAGTGAGCGTCCATGCGTTCGCATCCATCCTCCAGCAGCGCGCGCGCGGGCGCACGCCTGCATGTGTGTATTGACTGTAAGTTGTTAGATCTATTATCTACTCACCTGACGGGCATTTCCAGTCCGCGTGCGGTTGATCTGATCCACTTTGTTGTCTTCCTCTTCCTCCTCCTCCTCCTCCTCCTCCTCCTCTTAGGTGCCCCCCTGCTCTGCCGTGGCAGTGCCCACCCCACCTCCAACACCTCCTCCTACTCCTCCAGCAGCAGCAGCGGCAGCAGCGCCCCGAGCTTAGACACAGCAAACAGACACGGTGTGTGTGAGCCAAAGGGGGGGCCGGCCGGGACAATCGCGAAGGGGGTGGGCACCGTCAATCCCCTCACTTTCACAAAAGCCGTGGCCGCGCAGCCGGACGCATCCTGTTGCAGGAGTGTGTGTTTGTGACAGCGGAGGATGGAGACAGTGTGGATGTGTGTGTGACGAGCTGCTGCGGCTCTCCTTGGCTCTCGGAATCACTTCACTGACACTCTGCTCCGCTGCGTCTTGGAGATGGACTCGGATTAGGACGCAGCCGGTGTGAGAATCTCTTTCTCTCTGTCTAACTCCCTCCCTTCCTCCCTGCTTCCAGCCGGCGCGCTCCCTCCCTCCCTCCTTTCTCTCTGCCGCTCACTCATTCACTCTCCTCGCTGAGCTTCTTTCTTTTCATTTCCTCTTGGGAAAGCCGTGCACACCAGTTGTCTCTGCCTTCAGCTGCTCCCTGCCTCCCTCCCTCTCAGTCACTAGTAAATATAAAAGGCATGCTTGTACAGCCCCTCGCCTCAGCTTCCCTCTGACTCTCCCTCCCTAACTCGCTGTGTCTCATGCTTTCGTTTACCCCCCCACCCATCCCCTTCCTCTTACTCAGTTTCTTTCTCACTGTCAAAGCTGCCTTTCAAATGCTGATTAGCATAGAGAAAAGAGAGAGGGAGACACAGAAGGAAGGAGAGAGGATGCCTGAAACAAGTGGGAGATTCCATCACATTCAAACAGATTGCACAATGTGACTGCCGTTCTGTAAACACTTTTTTTTGTCACTGTAGGGGGTTATCACACTGACTGGGCACTTTCTAAAGCCTCAAAATAAATCAAGACATTTTACTCTGAAAAAATATATATTCCATCTAGTTGGCAACTTATCTTTATCCAAGATTTCTATTAAAGCTCTAAAAGAGCCAAAATGAAAATGACTGTTTATATATTCCAGTTCAAGATCAGATATTGTTTTTAGACTTTTGACCACTTTCAAAACCAAAAAGTAGAAATAGAACAAATGTTTTCTAAAAACACACAATTTTTGCACAATTTTTAGAAGTTATGGTTTTGAAGGCAAGAGAAAAGGACATTTAGTGTTCAAGTTTATTTCAAAGACATATAAAAAAGTGTGCTGTGCTCGAAGATGCTTTTTTTTGTCGGAAAACTAACAAAGTTAAACTTACATACTATCCCACTTTGAAACACGGTGCAGGCAGCATCATGATGAGGGAATGACTCAGTTGATTGATGAAGTAAATTCATTCTTGGAAGAAACTTGGTTAGAAGGCTGCAAGCGTCCCAAGGGAGGTTAACTATCCAGCTAGACAATATCCTAGCGTACAGTCAGAGCAGCTCTGAATGTTTATATTAAAGCTCTAAAAGAGTCAAAATGAAAATGTTTTTATATTCCACATGCTATTCCACATCCAGTTCAAGATCCGATATTGTTTTTAGACTTTTGACCACATTCAAAACCAAAAAGTAGAAATAGAACAAATGTTTTCTAAAAACACACAATTTTGAATCCCCACCTTTTTAAGTTCAGAAATAATAAAAACAAAAATTCAATCAAACTAACAGTCTACAATGAGAACTTAAGTTGTATCTAAATACAATGCAGCGTAAAGGTGTTATACCTCCTACATATTTTTCAATGTCAAACATTCCACAGCTAGAATTATATATTTTTTTTCACAATTTTTAAGAAGTTGTGGTTTTGAAGGCAAAAGAAAAGGACATTTAGCGTTCAAATTTATAAAAAGAAAAAAAAATTATAAAAGTGTGCTGTGCTCTAAAATACATGTTTTGGTGTGTACAACGTGCTTTTTTGTTGTTGGAAAACTAACAAAGTTAAACTTACATACCATCCCACTTTGAAACACGGTGCAGGCAGCATCATGATGAGGGAATGACTCAGTTGATTGATGGAGTGAATTCATTCTTGGAAGAAACTTGGTTAGAAGGCTGCAAACCTCCCGAGGGAGATCAACTATCCAGCTAGACAATATCCTAACATACAGTCAGAGCAGCACTGAATGTTTTGGACCAAAGTGTCTCCATCAGTTAGAATGGCTCCAGTCAATTACTGGGCCTTATTCCAGTTTCAGAATGTGCAGCAAAACATATAAACATTATATTCACAGAAACTCTGCATTGATCTCAGTAAACTTAAGCTGTTTTATAGTTTGTATTTGTGAGAAAAACATCCATGCTGTATGCTTTCCCTTCTTCTTCATAATTCTGGTGCTTCAATACAAAATCCCAATAAAACACATGGGAATTTGTGGTTCTTACATGACCAATGTGTGATGGTAATTTCACAGGGCACAGTAGATTTCCTTCAGTATTAAATCCTTATATTAAAAAAAATTCCAGTTGGTTTTTTCCTCTTTCTTTCAGGTAGACAGAGTACCTGCCTGATTAAACCATCTGCAGGGAGAAAAAGGTAACGTAGCCGCTGCTGATTGGTTATGCTGTTTGGAATTGACTTTGCTCCACCACTGCCAATCACATTATTGCCCATAGCTCCAAGCTATCTGCGTACCCAAAGTCTGCGACCAGCCAACTATGCCCAGACAGGGGACTGTGGCCAAAATGGATAACCATGTGGTCCGACTAAAGCGCTGTTCAGTGCTGGACAAACTTCAGCTGCCAGAAATTAAATGGTTCTAAAATGCCATGTCGGAGAACACCTGTATAGCCTGGAGAGCACATCTTTGCAAGGTGTAATATAGGTTTTGCAGAAATATTCGGAAGTAATCAAATGCAATATATAAAAAAATAAGGAGAGGGATAATTTAATTGACTGAATTATTCATGACATTTCAGTAGGATTTGGAGAGGTCTTTATTAAAAACGAATCTCCTACAGTTAGAAAAGCAACTGAAACAACTCTAAGCTGTAACAGAGAACACATGTATGGGCAACAAAGGTTGGAAACGTTAGTTATTTCTCATTACATCCTGCAGAAAAAATACCTGAAAATATTTTCCCCAAATGGCATAATTGGTAAGCAACATACTAATATGTTTAACCTTAGTAAAGTCAAATGTAAAATAAGAGGTAACTTAACATATCCATAATCTAAAAACGTGTTGTTTTCTTTATTGATATTTCCAGTAAAAGCAGCATTCCTTTCTTGTTTCCTCCCTGAAAGAAATGACAGAGAAAAGGTTCTTTAATGTTAGAAGGGCTTTTCTCTATTGCATATCTTCTATCAGTGTGTTTTGCAGAGTGCAATCTCTTCGATCATAATCATAATGATCATAATCTGATGTGAAAGCAGCATCAGAAAAAATTACTTGAAGAAGCTTAACAGGCTGATAAAGAAGAATGGTTCTTCCCTGGAAACTCCTCTGGAACCTCTGAAGATGATTTCACAGAGATGAATTCAGGGTTTCGATTCCTCGCCCGGGGTCTTTCTGCATGGAGTTTGCATGTTCTCCCTGAGCATCCGTGGGTTCTCTCTGGGTACTCCAGCTTCCTCCAACAGTCCAAAAGCATGACTGTTAGGTTAATTGGCTTCTTTAAATTCTCCTTAGGTGTGAGTGTGTACACCCTTGATTGGTGACCTGTCCAGGATGTACCCTGCCTCTCACCAGTAGACAGCTGGAGGCACCAGCACCCCTTGCAACCCCGCTTGGGATAAACATGATGGAAAATGGATGGATGAATTTATTCATAATATAAAGAGCCATTCGGACAACAAGCATCCTCTTAGAAAACTGTTGCCTAAGGAAGCTCCAGCCAGAGGTATCTCCAGATCCACTGTATAGAAATATTTTATATTGTAGTTTTTATTATTGTTGGATCTTATCAATACGTCCCTGCTGCTGTGTTTTAGTGCTTTTACACCAAATCCTTGATGTGCCAGGGACGAACCATTAGAGAAGATGCCTCCAACCTACAACCATCAGCATGGTTAGCCACTTAAGTAAAGCCTATAATCTGAGTTACATTAGTTTCTCTTTGGGATTCCTAAAGTATTTTGAAATTTGAATTTTCCCTGCTACTTAAATCGGTGCTGAGGATTTCCAGAGAATTGTCTAAGAATTGCCCACATGCATAATTTTCTATTCTATGGCCAGTTTTTACATGGCAACCATGTTATAAAAAAATTTCAGTAATTTGGTCCAAACAACCCCGTAGAGAGAAAATCTTCAGAGGCTCCTTAGTTCGACTTAAGTTTTATTGGATTGTGGTAGCTAAAAATATTTGAAAAAAGGCATGCTTGTTAATGTTTAGCTTTAATGTTTTAGCTCTGAAACCCACTTTAAAAACAGCTCCCCCCTTACTCTCCCTATAAAAAAAACGAAACATAATATTTTGATTAAATGGTGATACACAAGAAGGGGCACATGGAAAAAAAATATTTGTCAGAAATAACTTGAATGGAACCAAAGTAATAATAAATAAAAATTCTATTACAAAGGAACAAATGGGTGTCAGACGTTCTATCCCAATCATGCATTAGCAGAATGATAAAAAATAAAATAAAATTAAAAAAAAGACTTTGGCCTGGACACTTAATATTTGTATCAAAACCTTTTGAGGCAACAACTGCAATCAAACACTTCCTGTTACTGTCAATGAGACTTCTGTTCCTCTCAGCAGGTATTTTGGCCCACTCCTTATGAGTAAACTGCTCTAGTTGTCTTTGGTTTGAAGGGTCCCTGTTCCAGATGGCATGTTTCAAAGATGCTTATTTGGATTTAGTTCAGAGCTCATAGAAGGCCATTTCAGAATAGTCCAATGTTTTCTTCTTAGTCATTCTTGGATGTTTCTATCTGTGGCTTTTGGGTCATTATCCTGCTGAAGACCCATGACCTGCGACTAAGACAAATCTTTTTGACACTGAGCGGCGCATTTCTCTCTAAAATCCCTCTATAGTCTTGAGATTTAATTATATCCTGCAGATATTGAAGACACCTTGAGTCTGATGAAGATAAGCAGCCCCAGAACATAACAGAGCCTCCTCCATGTTTCACAGTAGGAACAGTGTTCTTTTCTTGATATGCTTTATTTTTCTGTTTGTGAACATACAGTAGAGCCGATGTGCCTTTGCCATCAGCTCCATTTTTCTTCTCATCTGTCCATAGGACCTTCTCCCTTAAGCTCGTTAACATGTAGTTAGGGAAATTCCTGTCTGGCTTTTTTACGATTTGTTTTTCTAACAACGTTGTCCTCCTTGGTCGTCTTTGGCTCAAACAATGAGAGATGGTGCGATCTGACTCTGATGTGTGGCTGTTATTTCAATGGAAATATTTCAATTAGGCTTCAGATGCAATAATATTGACAAGTTATGAGGACTAGGTTAAAACCACTAGCGTATTTCATAGTGGCTGATACCTGTTACATCATATACAAGCTGATGCTATCCTTCATTCTCTGAAACAAGTAAAGAAGTGAGTGAAGTGTGCATTTTTCCCCAAACCACCCAAGGGATTGCACTAAGACTCTATCCAACTGAGCCTGCACCTGCCATTCTGTCTACTAGTTACTAGTTTCTTTGCTTTAGACAGATAATCTGCAACTGATAGATTTGGCGTCGTGTAAATTGAATTTGGAATGCAGCATAATAAGATGAAGTTATTTCTTGTGGAAACATTCCAGCAGTTGCAGCCTTCCTACTTTAAATTGGTTTATTAATGCGCTCAGGTTATGCATACTTGAATGTATGTACTTTGTTATTTTGCAAAGGAAAAGTATGAAATGTAACGCATGGACGGGATCAGGGAAGCACACACATGCTGGTGTATACGTGAACAAATAATCACACTCAGAGACTCACTCAAGTACTCTCTCCCTCTCTTCCCCCTCTCCTCTATTCGTTCCCCTTGCCCTGAAACACTACTCAGAATATTGATACATCACCCCCTCCTCCTTTCTCTCCTGTCTCCGTCTCTCTCTCCCTCCATCACTCACTTTCTCTACTGAATACTGATAGGATGTCTACTCCGTGGTCTGAGTTTCAAATTTCTCCCTCCCTCTTTGCTCCCTGTGACGCTACACTCACTATACACAAAAAAAAATCCCCAGCAACAAAAAGGAAGAAATAGCAGAAGTTAATGCACTGAGGTGGACATAAATTCACTTAAGTACCATTTCAGATTATGTCAAGCTAAAAATGGGCTTAACATTGTGGAAAGGAGGGAAGGGGGAGTGGGTGACAGAGGAGGGAGGAGGAAAAGTCTTGCCAGCGGAAACTGGCCGAGGTGCTTGTAGCGCTGTAGCGAACCAAAAACGGGCAACAAAAAGAAGAAAGACTTGTGAAAAGTTTAAGCAAATGAAGACACATTTAGTTTTTTAACTGCTCCTTTTTTGGGGGGGGGGTACGATTTCTACCCTCCTGCGTTGCTGTTGGCCATTGGCACAGATTAGGGAGGGGGTGTTGGGGGTAAGAAAGAAGTGAATGAGGTTGTCAAAGAATCCCAATGAGACCCCTTTACTTCACACACACACTGACAAAAACCCACACAGTCACACACACACTGAATAAACCCTGCAATGTTTCAGAGCAGGAATAAGCGGAAACAAGAGAAACAACACAAGCAAAAGCGCCTCCCTTTTCTCACACAGATGAAAAAGTGGCAGGGCCCTTTTTTTTTTTTTTTGTCTATTTAAGTGTGAGTAAGTGTGTGTGACCATAGTTGCTATGGAGGAGTCTTTCTGTCTACAACAAAAGTGCAGCACGTCTGAGACATTGGGATAGGGAGTGTGTGATTTTGTCCTCCAAGTCTTCCCCAGGCGTCCTTGAAGGAGTCTTGCGGAGAATATTTGACTCAGTATGTGCTTCTGTGTGTGTGTGTGTGTTTCAGACATTGTTTGAGCTCTCACAGTCTCAGTTCAGTACCTGAGGCTTGCCTCGCGGAGCTGTACTACAGGTTTTCCCTTCACAGGCCACGGCGCTCAGCGAGTAACGAAAAACCACAAATCTGGAAAAAAAATTCACCCAGCTTAATGAATAAGTAATGTAATTAAATCCAATGCTTAGATAAAATCATGAGTCAGTTTATTTCACTGTGTGCATTTGTGTTCATACCCACTATCCTGAATTTGCTCGTGTCTGTTACAGTCAGCAGGATAGTCACACCCCTGTCTGACCTTGTTTGTCCGCCTGTCTACATATGCTATCGGCTGTGGTCACATCAATCTGAAGTCATGAGAGGACATTACACTCCTTGAGAAGCAATACAATCAAGCCTGAGGGAGAGAAAATACCCACATTTTAAACAGAATTTTTTTTATTTTAGAGACTAGAACCATTAAGAAAATACAATACAAATCATTTGCAACTTTCATCAAAAGAAATATGCAATTTTGAAGCAGCTTGTTGGCCACTATTCTCTTAAGGCAGCTGTTTACAATAAGCAAAACTGAAAAAATAACAGTTTACAACTAGTATCAAGTAGAGTTAAGAAGTTTCTTTGAATTAAAAAAAGGACTTATCTTACTGCAAAAACAAAACTCTGTTCAAAACATTTCTCTCCTTATAAAACAAGGGGTATGCAAAGTCTTGGCATCAAGTCAAAGAGAAACACATGGCTGACAGACGGAGTGAACAGTTCATGCACCAGACGCAATAGAGGTGTCAAGAGGGAGATCAACAGCCGGACCTCAAAGATGACCATGCTTGATTGCAGTAAAAAAAAGAAAGCCTATATTCTGATCTTCAGCTACCACAGTATACATGTCAAATTAAATAATACTACTTATACTTCAGCCATAGTATCAAGGTGTTACTTTATTGTATCTCTTATACTATATCCATTGGTTGTGCTGTTTTTTTACACCTCTTTGCAAGTGATGAAGTAGACTGAAAAAGTTTTATCATTATATCCATTTTATCTCCTCTTACTTTCATCTTTTCTCTTTTTTTCTGTTTATCCTTTGCTGTTCTACTTACATTTTAGTGTCCATAAGTCTGTAATACTCCCTGCATGAATTATATTATAATAAAGCTATTTACATGCATTACAAAAATAAGAGATACATTTGAAGTTTGGGGGGGGAAGGAGTCATCATAGAGATCATAGGTGACAAGTATTTACACAAAGACAAAAAGAGCAGAAAATTTATAGCAGCTATTTTGACTCAAGTCACAAAACAAAGGCAGAAAAACCTGTGGCAGTTTTATGTTAAAGCCTGATTAGATTTATAATGTGTCCTCTAACCTTGCACGTCTCGTGTAGGAAGTAAACACCATGAAAGTGCCAAATTTTAGAGCTAAAACAGTTTGTGCAGTGAATAAAAATGAAGTTGCAATATGAATGAGGAAAGATAATATCTACAACATAAGAAGCATAATTTTGTAAAATAGTATTTGTTCCCTGATAAAGTTCTTAGTTTTTTTCTCGTTTTGTCTCATCAACCCATTTTAATATGGAATCGACCTTCAATCTCCCTTAATCATGTCAGGCCAGGAAAAAAAGACCCAGTATTCAAGGGGGAAAGACAGTTTTATTTAACCAAATGCGTATTTATGATGGAACCGCAGAGAATACTATTGGCATCTAATGCTACGTTCACACCAAAAGCAGCAAGAGCATAAAAAACGCGTGTGCTGCTTCATTTTTGATGCTTGTACAAGTTTAGTTCTGATGCGCAGGTGGAAAAGTGGGTCTGATGAGCGTTGGGCGGAGCTACCCTCTCCTTTCTTTGCCTGTAAAAATGGCAGTTATATATGCTGGGATCAGTGGGAATAAAGTAGTTTTAATATGTTTTTAAGTGAGAAAGTCCACATGAAAACTTCCTCTGTGCAGTCAGTTCATCAAGATTACGATCCTGCATTCAAATATTATTTCGCTGTCGGAGCCACTCAGACCCCCACATACCAGAGGTGCTCTGTCATTGAAATCCCATTCAGCAGCAGCCTCTGGCCTGGTCGCCTCTTCGCGGCTAGACGCTGGTTTTCATGTACGTAATCCAAACTGCAGGCACCAGGATAATAAAAGTGAACATGTTTTGCCAGCAGATTTCAGCATTTTAAGTTAATTTAGGCGTTAATAAACTGTTTCAGAGGAGTGATCATAGCGCTCTGCATCAGCAGCGATGTGTTTCTCTCCCTGCAGCTCCCTGATCAGCTTCTCTGATTGGTTGATGTGGCACGTTGAGCAGCAAAAATAAAATTTTCCAAATTCAGCAGCAGCTGCATTTGCAGCGTGTCACGCGCGTCAGATGCTCAAAAGCACACGATGCGCTGCTTCAGCTGCTCAGACACGCTACTCCTGCTGCTCAAAATGCGCTGCGGGACCTTTTGCTGTGCCTTGATGCACGTCAACCATTGACTTTGCATGTAAACTAGCTGCTCCTGCTGCCTCGGCTGCTTTTGGTCTGAACGTAGCATAAGGCCGGAACCTCTGCAAGGAGGAGAACACAGGTTAGTGACCACATCTATCTGGCGGAGGATGATAGCGAATTTGTGAGTCAGTAACCTGGTCTTATAGTTCAGAGGATGGATCCAGCTAGTGGGCTGCCAACAAGACGCTGAAGGTGCCGTCTAGAGATTCCCAGAAGCTGACGTCCTGGAGGTCAGAGGACAGGAAGGGGATCAGTGAAAAGCAGATGAAGGAAGGCAAGATGATCCAGAGAGTGAATCCAAAGTCGATGTCAAAGATGTGATTGGTAGTCAGAGCCAGGAGATCAGAGGCACAAAGAGGTGCCAAAGGGAAATCCAGGATGGTGTCAGAAATCAGTTCCCAGTACGGTACACAGGCTGAAATTCAGCAGGCTCAGAGGTACAGAGGCAGAAGGGATAAGATCAGTCAATCAGAAATGTGGTAATTCTAGAGAACTCTTACCACCGGCTCAAATAATCTGGCACTGATGACTGGTTGAAGGCGGTTAAAATAGAGGCTGATTCAGGTGGATCAGATGAATTGTAATGATAGCTGTGTGGAGCTAAGCAGGTGAATGGAATGAGTTATCAAACCAGTCTTCAGTTCCAAGATCATGACATCATAATTTAACTGTAATTACACAGTTTTTGGTATGTTTCATGACAAAGGCATGACAAAGACATTGCCATAAATAAAGAAAAAAAGTGCCTGACATGTGGTAGGTTAAATGAAGGACCCATTTAGGAGTTCCCCAAAAGTCCCAGAACAATATCTAAAACACTGTACACTGCTGTACTTAAGCTAAATGCTCAGAATTTACAAGTAAGAAAGAGGCAAACTTGCATTCACTGCTGACCAAAAAGAAGGCAGTGGTCGATCTGCCACTTCCCCCCCAAAAATACCTTTGGATGTCAAAGAGTTTTTTTGGAAATTACTGATGAGTTAAAAGAAACATTTTGCAGTTTGGATGCAACAAGTCAAACAAAGTCCTGGTTTTATGATGGTGTGGGTGTACTTTGTTACTTTAGGACATCAATGACATACAGTGATTGATGGAAACAGTAGAGTGAATTGATATGAAGTGCTTTCTAGCCATAATGGCCACTCAAAGTATTTCATATTACAGTCACATTCAGTTGCCCTAAAGTCCACACATTCATTCACCAATGTAGGCAACTTTGTGTTAAGAGCCTTCACCCCATCACATGTTAAGGTAATAGAAGATGCTGAAACCAACAGAGAAAGACAAAGCTCCTAGGCACTACAGTGACTCCACCTCTGAATAACTTGAAGTGGCCTATCTAAAGTCTGGACCTACATCCAGTGTGAAGCTATGGCATTGCCTAAAAAAAGTGTTAATGTTTGAAGATTTTCATTGATGCTGAATTGAAGCCATTCTGCAAAGAAGAGATTACCAAAATTTCAACAAAGTGATTTAAAAGCCAGACACCGCAAATGTCTGATGGCAGCTGTGCTGCAAAAAATGTGGCATAACCAGAGATGAGGTTTATGGGGCAATTGCTTTTCCACATCAGGCCAGGTCAATGAGAATTGTTTTTTTGTTTTTCTATCTCTTAATAAATTAAAGCATCATTTAAAAACTGCTTCTGTATTTACTCAAATCATAACCCAGGTGGACAACTTAATGAAAACCATTAGTGAGCACAGCAAATTAACATAAATAGCTCATAACTCGGAAGGTTAATTGACAACAAGTCAGAAGCAAAAAAATAGCAAAGACCATCTGAGAGTCTAGAGGCAAAATTACAGATTAAAGTTTACCTCTATTTGATGTGCGTCTGAGGCAGTAATACAAGTAATCCCAGAGCTGAACTGGCATTAATGTGTGAACAAAGAGGAGTGGCGTCCAAAAGCATTTCCAACTAGCACAGCTGTTGTCATTTTACTGCCTGCACAACACTGGGTTGTTTTGTAATGGGTCGCCTTCATTTCGTCTGAGCAAATTGCTTATGTTGAGTGACTGCAGTTTCACAAAGATATCATTTTCTGTTGCATCTTTGTTAAACCTGAAGTGTAAGAAAAAGATCTTTCTTTAAGGCTCCAAAGCAAATGGTTGAAAAGATTAAACAATTTATAAACACTTTCATAATAATAACGTTGGTGAAGTAAAGAGGAAAACTGAAATCCAGCAGTGAATGTTTAATTTTAATGACTTCAGGTGGCAGAACGTTAAACAATATCCCTACAGAGGCTTGGACACACCAGCTATATAACTGATGGAATTACCAGTTTTAAAAGAAACTCAGACATGTTGGTCAAAACTAGAAGAGATCAATTTAAAGTGAAATGTTATTTGATCAGAGAGAGTAAATGATCCATTTACAACACCTTTAAAAGCAGGAACTTTTCTATATTTGTTGTTGTGATTATTATTTTTTTTTTTTTTATTTCAGGGGGTTGAAGTCAACCTACTGCTGATGTACCTCATAAAGTGTATTAGCTGCCCAATCTAAGTTAATAGGAGTATTGCAAATGGAACGATAACCTGACTGCAAGATACAATGTTGTGGTGTAGAAATGATAGGCTGGGGATCTTTTCAACCAAAGAGTTAGAAAGAATCAACAATAATCAAAGGAAATAGTCTGAAGAGAGAAGGAAGAAGAATTTAGATTAATTTTACCCTTAAAAGATTTTTTTTTCTGGACTGAAGAACACTTCCTTTAGTTCTGTAAGTTTTATTTATTGAAATTGAAAAGGTGAACCTTGTATATCCACGATAATGCATGGTAATTATCTTCATACTGGTGTCCACTATAATAAAATATACTTCTATACTTCTGCTGAGTTATTTTGGTTCGATCAGGGGTTGACACCTGTCATATTTCAAACAAAAAAAC